CTTTGGTATGGTTTGCTCCTTCTTTCCTATCAAACATCTATCGTCCTTATCTCCCTCTTTTTTTTTATTGTTTGTTACTCTCTTAAAACACTTCTAATCTTCTGTCTGGCGTTCATGACCTTATGCAGTTGCGAGCGCCGTAAAACCTCTACGAAGACTAAAACACACCGTATTACATACTTTTGCAGTCTATGTTATTTCACTATCTTTGGTGACTGCCCATCATTCACAGTCGTAGAGAAGGGCCAACCACACACGAGCTTTCAGAACTTTCATTTAGGTAGTCATTGAGATGTTTCAAATTATTGATCAGGACTTGGCTCCATTGATCGAAACTGTCTTCAGCCACTGCTATTGTGGATGGTTGGAGGGTGCTCTTGTGTGGTTTGCTCCATAATCTTTCCGATTAAACAATTACCCTCTTTATCTCTCCTCCTTTTTATGTTTGTTACTCTCTTGTAACACCTCTGATCTTCGGCACTTATATGACCTTATTGTGTTGCAAGGCCTTATTAACTCTTTCTAAAAATAACAACAACAATTGTCCGTTTTATTTCTGTGAAACAGTAGACATTGGATGTAACATAACAGTAATGATAATACATACACTGCATTTTAATAGCGCTCTATCACATATTATGAGTTTTAACTCAGAGCGCTTTACACCGATGGCATCGTCAGTGAGAATAATAGGCTACTTCATTTACACAAAATAAAAACATTTCACAGTGCCGGTAACAAGAAAATGAGTTCAACCACGTAAAGAAGAATGGAACGCATCACAGACTTGCATAAAGAGGATCCAGGTTTTCTTGAACAGGTGTCTAAGAAGGTTACCGAGGATCAGTTGGACAGACTGGGTCACCAATGTGGAAGTGTTAAATTGGACATACTCTCTGGAAGTCAGGCAGCTGCATAACATAGAAAGTTTTGGATTGGAACCCACAGGGTAAGAGATCAAGGGGAAGACCTCGTGGAACCTGGAGAAGAATCACAGAAATTGATGTACAGAAAAGTGGGAAGACACGGAATAACATCAAGAGGCTAGCCCATGATAGAGAAAGGTGGAAGGTGTTTGTCCGTGGCCTGTACCCTGGTGCAGCGTGAGAAAGGCAATTATGATGATGATGACGTGAAGAAGAACTTTCTCAACCATACATTAATTACATGTTATACACATGAGTACAGCAATGAAAACAAGACATATCAGTATATTCACAACCAGTCACACTATAATTGGTCGCTTTTAAGGACAAGCGGGCTAACCCAGATTTCAGGGGTTTTCAGAAATCTTGACCTACTCCAAAAGTGGGCTCTACCTATAGGAGAAGTTTGGTTTTATTTGCGTGTAGATTTGGTGGTAGAGAAAACTCGATTTTCTCAAAACAGCAATTTTCGGGATAGCCCCCTTGTTCTTAAAAGCGACCAATTATTACCCTGTCGTTGCCCTG